AGGTGCCATGGAGCTAAGCGTAGAGATACAGAAGCTGGTCAAATGGTAGGTGGTCAGGACACAGGCTAGAAGACTGGGAGACAAAAGAACAGAGATCAGACAGATATGTTAGGACACAGGAGATTAGAATCTAGAATTATAGTAATAGGTATTGGAAATAAAAATAATAGTAATAGGCCAGGCACGGTGGCTCACGCCTGCAATTTCTACACTTTTGGAGGACGAGGCAGGTGGATCACTTGAGGTCAGTTCAAGACCAGCCTAGCTAACATGGTGAAACCCTGTTTCTACATGATGAAATCCTCCCATCTTTCAAGTCTTTTCAGTTAGCCTTACTTGACTTTTTTCTGTTCCATAGCTTCGTTTCCTCATGCTGTTCCTCCATATGTCCTTCAACCATAAACGACTTCCCATCCGTATCACCACTTGGAGCTCTCAGTAACTATTTGGCATTCTTTCTTACTGACTTAAATGTCACCTATGCCCAGTACCTAGTCCTCTGAAGCATAAAATACAAAAACTAGCTGTGTGTGGTGGCATGTCCCTATAATCCCAGCTATTCACTAGGCTGAGACAGGAGAATTGCTTGAACTCAGGAGGTAGAGGTTGTAGTGAGCCAAGATTGTACCACTGCACTCCAGCCTGGGCGACAGTGAGACTCTGTCTTAAAAAATAAAAAAAATAAAATGATTTACATTTACAATATACTTCGTACATAAAAATTTCACATATATTATCTATTTGATATTGAATTAAGTATTGTACCTTTGGATTTAAGTACAGCACTTTTTTATCCTCCTTACACAGGGTTGCCTAAGCTCACAGGTGAGGGAGGAGCTAGGATAACTAGCTGGAGTTGGGGAAGGGAAGAGGTGGGAAGCCAAGCACTTCCTGATACTTGCCTCCCATCTTTCAAAAGTCTTTTCTGTCAGCCTTACTGTATTCTTGACTTTTTTCTGTTCCAGATCTTCGTTTCCTCATGTTGTTTCTCCATATGTCCTTCAACCATAAATGACTTCCCATCGGTATCACCCCTTGGATCTCTCAATGAACTATTTGGAGTTCTTTCTCACTGACTTAAATGTCACCTATGTGCAATTCCTTGTCCTCTGAAGCATTAAATATTAGGATACGTCGATCTCACTGATGTACTATATATAACCAGCAACAGAGTACTGTGCTTCTACTCCTAGAATTGGGCCAATCTTACAGAATTAGAGTTACTATTTTGTATGATCATGCAGCATGGACTGCCTCTTCCACTACCCCTCCAGCCACCCCTTGCAGTGAGCTCCTCCAGGCCAGTGACCATGTTTCACTCATTTCTATAGCTTCATTATTTTAAGTGCTGGCATATGATAAGCCCTCAATTAAAAAAATTCAATTGGAATTTATCAATGACTACCCTAATTCAAATTGCTTCTTTCCCCAGATCCTCTCTTCTCTGTACGGTTTTTCTCATTGCACACTGTGTTTTTTTTTTGTTGTTTTTTGTTTTTTGAGATGGAGTTTCACTCATGTTACCCAGGCTGGAGTGCAATGGCCCGATCTCGGCTCACCGCAACCTCCGCCTCTTGGGTTCAGGCAATTCTCCTGCCTCAGCCTCCTGAGTAGCTGGGATTACAGGCACGCGCCACCATGCCCAGCTAATGTTTTGTAGTTTTAGTAGAGACGGGGTTTCACCATGTTGACCAGGATGGTCTCGATCTCTTGACCTCGTGATCCACCTGCCTCGGCCTCCCAAAGTGCTGGGATTACAGGCTTGAGCCACCGCGCCCGGCTTGCACACTGTTATGGTTTGAGTTGTATCCCTCAAAAATGTTGAAGTTCTGACCTTCACCCACCCCACCATCCCTGTTACCGTGACCTTATTTGGAAACATCATCTTTGCAGATGATCAAGTTAGAATGCGGGCTGTGGGTTGGGCCCTAATTCAATATGATTGTGTCCTTATAAAAAGGGGAAATTTGGACATAGAGACATGCACACACACGCAGGGAGCCTGCCACATGAAGATGAGGGCAAAGATTGGGGGATGTAATGGAAGCTAAAAGATGTCAAATGCCAAAGATTGTCCACAAACTATCAGAAGGCAGGCGAGAGGCATGGAACACATTATCCCTCACAGTCCTCAGAAGGAACCCACCCTTCAGACCCCTTGACATCAGACTTTTAGCCTCCAGAACTGTGAGATAATACCTTTCCATTGGTTAAGCACAGTTTGTATTACTTTATCATGGCAGCCCTAGGGAACTAATATACCACTTACCACCTTTACCTTCTAACTCTATAATTGCCTTTCTCCCTGACTAGAATGGAAGCTCCATGGGGTCAGGGCTCTTCCTCTGTTTTGCTCATGCATGAATTCTCAACATGTAGAACAAGTCTGGTATATGATAGCTCTCGCTATTTGTCAAAAATGAGGAATGGAATTTTTCACATAAATCTAGACATTGTTTTCATTTGAAAACAACCTATAAAAAATGTTCCCAATAATAAAGCCATAATGGAGAACTTTATTAGCTTAAAATAAAGTATACTGCCCTGTGGCTACTCTTTAAGAGGGGGATCCTAAACCCTTGGAAGCTGTATCTATTGCTGATTTCTACATCTCACTAGTGGCAGAGTGCTTGGGACTGTGAATGTATACATGGAAGTTAGGGGACGCCACCCCTCAGGGCTTCCCTTTGCTGCTTCTGGCTTTTTATTCTGCTTTTTTTCTGAACAAAGTAAGGTAAGGTCAAGAATACAAAACCCAGCCAGGTGCAGTGGCTCATGCCTATAATCCCAGCACTTTGGGAGGCGGAGGTGGATGGATAGAGGTAAAGAGTTTGAAACCAGCCTGGCCAACATGGTGAAAACCCGTCTCTACTAAAAAAACAAATATTAGCTGGGTGTGGTGGCAGGCATCTACTTGGGAGGCTGAGCCGCCAGAAATCACTTGAACCCGGGAGTGGGAGTTGGAGGTTGCAATGAGCCGAGATTATGCCACCGCACTCCAGACTGGGTGACAGAGCAAGACTCGGTCTTAAAAAAATAAAAATACAAAACTATTCTCCTCCTCATCTCCATTACCTTCCTCTTAGTATGGTGCCAGATATTTGAGTGGTTGAATGCATGTGTTCTGGAATTATGAGAGGATAATTCCCTTTTTTTTTTTTTTTCTGTGTCACTTGAAAAAAAAAAAAAAAAGAAAAAAGCATTCACACCTACTAGAACTGTCTCAGTTTTTTAGTTTTTTTTTTTTTTTCCTCCGTATAGTCAGCATTTCTCGACAGTCCTGAGAGGTAGGTATTATCTGAAGGTGAGAAAACAGGCAAAGTGGTTACCACCTTGCACACGGTATGAAGAAACTGCAAGGCGTAGGAGCCAGGCCTCCTAAATCTCAGTCCAGTACTCCTGTTCCTCTGCTCATCACTGCCCAAGTTTTCTCTTTTTTTGTCTTGGTGAAGATGGGGTTGGACCCAGAAACATGAAAGTGCTTTGGTTTTAGAATGGGAAGGAAGAGAGACAAATCTGCAGGGCTTTCAACTCTGTAGCCATTCCCTCTAGTATTTCTGTGGGGATGGTGGGCCAAGAGGAGAGGTCTGAGTTCAGCGAGTGAGGACTGGCCCCCTGTTCCTTTCAGTGAATGATCTTTCCCCAAATAGGCACACAACACACACAACACACACAACCGGGGGCCCCAGCCATGAGAGTTGCTCTTGATAGAAACGGTCTCCCAGATGACCATGACAGGCACTGGGGACTAGTTTTAGTTCAAAGAAACGAGAGATGAGGGCACTACAAAGAGGCAGGGATAAAATATATATATATGAAGATTATTCAACCAGAAACGAAAATGAGGGTGGGGAGAAGATAGAGGGTGAAGATAGCACATGGTTGGGAGTAGAAAGACACTATTCTTCTGCTCAATGTGTAAGGATCACTGTGAGGAGAGTGAGGGAGGCTTTGACCTTCGATGCTGAGTCAAACTGTAGATACAGATTTTCCATATAAGTCCTCTGTCATTTTCAGGTGGCATCCGGATCAACTTCAGGTGCCACGATGGAGCCAAAAAATCACCAGGAGAGAACAGGACAGGAAAGAAGGCTGGGACAGTAGGGTAGTTCCATCTCTGCAAACGCACAGGTATAGGAAAGAGGCACCCGGGGTGTCTCCGGAGGCTATCTTTTCAAAGTCACTTAAGTTTCTGTAACTTGAAGTGGCCCTTGCCCTCTGGCATCATTTGACGTCTTTGCTGCAGACCTCGAGGTGCTCGAAGTGACCTTGGTGATCATCCTTAACCTCAAATTCCTGGTCCTGCACTGCCCAGCTCCAGAGTCACTGCTGCTGACTAGGCTCTTCTGCAGTTCGGGTTATTCTACAGTCTGTCAAGAGGGCTTCTTCTAAATCCTCTCCCTAGGAATGCTTGGAAGGAAGGGAGGAGCAGCCTGAAGTCTCTCATCGTTTATCCGGACACAGTGACAACCCCTGCTATGACTGCCCTCCCCGGGAGCTGGGCTTAGTCGCACAGTTCCGGGCTCGCTTCGGGGTGGGGGCGCCTGTGGTGTGCCGCTCCCTCGGGACGCGGGGCCCGGGCGATTTTCGGGGCCTCGGCAGCGCGGGAGGCGGTGGCGGCGCCGGCTGGCCGGCTGATGATGATGCTCTGTGCCCGCAGCCGATGGGAGGCAGCGTGAGCCCGAGACAGCCCGGAGCAGCCGCCGTGGCAGCGCTGGAGCGCAGCCTCCTCCCGCTCCCACAATGCACAGGGCGGCGGCGGCGGCGGCAGCGGCGGCGGCAGCATCGCGGGCCGCCGAGGTGGCTGCGGCGGCGGCGGCGGCGGCGGCGACCCCCAGGACCCCGGACAGGCGGAGCTCTCGCGGCTGCTCGCGGCGAGCCCGAGAGTGATGGCGAGGCCCCTGCTGGCCGCCAGCGCCTGAGGCGCCCCACCCCGCCCCGCCCTGCGCGGCCCGCCCTGCCCGTTTCCCTGCCGGCGGCTGCAGGCGCTTCCTAGTCCGTGCGGGCTGCCGCCCAGGCGTGGTGCGGCCTCCGCTCAGGCGGGGGGCGTAGGCGCGCGGAGCCAGCCATGGCCGCGTCCGAGCTCTACACAAAGGTAAGGCACCCCGCGGCCGGCGTCGAGGACTTGGGCAGCGCTGCCCTCGCCGACAGCTGTCAGGCTGGGGAAGGGGCGGGAGCGCGGGGCCCGGGTGGGCCCCGCCAGCGCCACCCCTTTCAGCGCCTCTGAACCCTCGGCCCTACCCGCCGGTCGCCCCCTGCGGCACCTTCCTCTTTCCGGCAAGATGGTTAAGGCGGCAGAGCGAGGCCAGTCTCGGGGGTCTCCCAGGCCCTCTGCCGCGCTGCTCGAGCTGGGGGCAGAGCGGGCTTTCAAGTGGAAAGAGGGCCCATGTGGATTTAGCAGGGAGGGCCTGGGCTGGGCTTGCCTCCCCTCCTGCTTGGCTTTGGAAAATTCCCTGCGGGTGGGAGATGCTTGCTCCGGTAGAACCCATGGTTTCTCTCGTGGGGACACGCGCTTAAAATAACGTCCTGTGTTGGTATACGGTGCCGCTTCTACCGCCAGCCAGCCTTTCTGTGAGGTTATCTTGAATCCTACAAATGGTGGCCGTCGATTTTCATTCACCTTTAGCTCCCCGGTTTAGCTGCGCTGGGGGTGGCGAGCCCTGGGGGAAGATGCTGCCGGATGAACGCGAGCTGATTCACTTACTGGGAGGGTCGATACTCAGTTGTCGCTGGGAGTTTGCAACCTGCGTGTAATCCCGCAGAGCCTTGTTAGGCTCCATGTCTTCACCATCCTCTGGGGCAAGCCTTTCCCTTCTGGGTTTGGTTTAAGGGAAGTGGCAGTCTTTTCTTTCTTAGACTGACACCAATATTCTCAGGGTCTGGTAATCTCTGAATGGCCTATTATGGAGGACTGTCACTTGAGTGCTGTGCAGATTTGTGGTGTCCTTTGTGAATATATGTAATCATGGCATTTTATGCTATACACTCATTTTTAGGTAGATGTTTTGCCAACTATGGATTACTTCTACATTCAGTTAATAGAGTTGCCTTTTCACATTAGCTCTTGCAATAGAACTTTCATTTAGGGTCCTGTAATTACTGAAATCATTGTTTCCGAATGTGACTCAAGTCCAGAGCCCAAGTTGCAGTGTGTTTTATAGAGGAAAGAAGTCTCGACTGGACATCAAGAAACCTGGATTCAAGCTGAAACCTTTTCACTTACTGTGACCTTGGACAAGTCACTTAACATCTCTGGTTCGATTTCCTCATGTGTAAATGGAGTTAATTATATTTGCCTTGCATCTCTTACAAGCTGTTGTGAGGATCAAATTTAATAATAGTTGTGAAAGCTTTTTGTAACCTATGAATTTCTCTACAAATATGAGATATATGATTAATCTCCTCAGACATGAAATGAGGAGCTTGCATCAAACATTCTCTGAGACCTCTTTGTTTCTAGTTAGATTTAAGGACTGTACAATTGGAACTTCTCTCTAAATCTATTAATTTCTTCAGGTGTTGTATATTTCTAACATATGAATGAATGCAGCTGGAAATTGATTAAAAGTAACCTAACACTTAATATAGTGCTTACTATGTGCCAGGTACTGTTTTAAGTGTTTTAAAAATATGAACTCATAGTCCTCATAAGGAACTTATGAGGTAGATACTAAGAAATATCAAAATCATTTTCACATGAAGAGATAACAGTCTGTAAACACTCATTGGTTACTTTGTGTAGCCCCTCCCCTCCACTTTTTCTATATCAAGCTTGTCCAAACCGCAGCCCGTGGGCCACATGCGGGCCCAGGATGGCTTTGAATGTGGCCCAACACAAATTCGAAAACTTTCTTAAAACATTATGAGATTTATTTTTTTGCATTTTTTTTAAAGCTCATCAGCTATAGTTAGTGTATTTTATGTGTGGCCAAAGACAATTCTTCTTCCAGTGTGGCCCAGGGAAGCCAAAAGATTGGACACGCCCCGATTCTTATGGTGAGCCATCATCTTTCAGCTACTTAGTACGAGACTGCTTAACTAAAGACTGTATAATAAATGTTGTTGGGTTTTGAATGCTTTTTTCCCCCAAGATAACTTGGGAGAAAAAATTGAAAAGATGTGATTTTTAAATGGTAAAGTTTTGGGCTTCTGTCACAGCTTTATCACAATCTGTTTTAAAATTTACCTTTTACCAGCCTGAGGAACATAGACCTGGTATTTACAAAAAATTAAAAAATTAGGCTGGGCACGATGGTTCATGCCTGTAATCCCAACACTTTGGGAGGCTGAGGCTGGTGGATCACCTGAGGTCAGGAGTTTGAGACCATCTTGACCAACATGGTGAAAACCTGTCTCTACTAAAAATACAAAATCAGCCAGGCGTGATGGCGCATGCCTGTAGTCCCAGCCGCTCAGGAGGCTGAGGCAGGAGAGTCTCTTTAACCTGGGAGGCGGAGGTTGCAGTGAACTGAGATCACGCATTGCACTCCAGCCTGGGTGATAAGAGCGCCTGTCTCAAAAAAAAAAAAAAAAAAAAAAAATTTAAAAACCAGCTGGGTGTGGTAGTCACCCCTGTAGTCCTAGCTACCTAGAGCTGAGGCAAGAGGATCAGCTGAGGCAGGAGGATCACTTCAGCCTGGGAGGTTGAGGCTGCAGTAAGCTGTGACTGTGCCACTGCGCTCCATCTTGGGCAACAGAGTAAGACTGTGTCTCAAAAAAATTTTTTTTTAACCTCTTTGTCGTTATAAAGACAGACTGGCTTAGAGATCAAGACTGAAATGGATTGAGGCTTATACTGCCTTCTCCTAAATACACTATGCCTAATTAATAATAGTCTGGTCACTTGATTATTTGTTGGCTGATTCTTTTATCGAATGGTCCTTAGCTTAATGGCAAGCAGAAATGCTTATCGGGCATCCTGTATCAGGTAATTTGCTTAATGTTGAGAGGATCTAACAGTGAACAAGATACAGTCCTTTCCCTCAACAGGCTTATAGTTTGCTTCTTACATTCTTGACCCACTTTGAATCTATAAGGGCATAAATAACCTGCTGTTACATCAACAGCAGGCAGACAGCTGGTGTGATATTTATTAGTAGAATTTAGAGAATGGGTTGAGACATGGGGAAGGTTGAGCTAATTCCAGAAATAAAAACTAGGATTGTAATTACTAGAGGAATAGGAAAACCATTAGAAGTAGTATCAGTGGATAAGCACAAGGATCTTTCCCTTGCAGAGGGTTATAGGAAGGAGGTTCTAGGGCAGATTATAAAGAAAGATGTATTAGTGACATGCCATACTTATGGTATTCAACACTGTAGTTAAATCTGAAAAATGCCATTTGAAAAAAATGTCATTCAGATCTTAAAGACAGATTGTGATGTGTGATACAGATCAGCTCCTGTTATATAGTGAAGGGGAAGAGACTGTTCAGTTTCTTCTTTTCAGCCAGAATGTTAATGGTTTTGTCACAGCACTTTAACAAGACTTCTATTTGTAAATTTTTCCAGCAGTATAAGCATTTTAAGGGCAATAGCTAGGTTCTTGGGATACCATTTCTGGAAACTAATATTTTGGTTAAAACATGTTTTGTTGATTTTTAAAAATAACAGCTTTATTGAGATATGAGTCTCATACCATATAATTCAACAAATTAAAGTGTACTATTCAATGGTTTTTGGTTTATTCGCAGAGTAGTATGTTGGTTTGTTTGTGGGTCAGCCTGCCTTGCTTTTGAAAGAATTGAAGGAAATTATGATATCTGATTGCTTCTGATTTTGAAAATATTGCTAGTCTTGACTTGCCAGTGGATATTTATATTGTACGTCAGCCATAGGTGCTTTTGTGGGTGATCGTACATCACTCATAAGCAGTTGCACATTTGTGAAGTAGGGTATGTCAATTAGACCTAGAAGGATTTCCAGCAGCATTATAATGAATGGCATGCTCTTCCTCTCATCATGTTCCCAGACACCATGGATAGCACCATAAATGCTGTAGAATGGTCAAGATTACCTGAAGCTGTTGTTTGTTTGTTTGTTTTAAATTTTTTATCTTTTTGAGACAGGGTCTCACCGTGTCACCCAGGCTGGAGTGCAGTGAAGTGAACATGGCTCACTGTAGCCTTTAAGTCCTGGGCTCAAGCTATCCTTCCACCTTAGCCTCCCGAGTACCTGGGGCCACATATACGTGCCAAACACCCAGCTAATTTTTAAATTTCTGCTAGAGATGGTCTCAGTATGTTGCCCAGGCTGGTTTTAAACTCCTGTACTCAAGTGATCCTCCCGCTTCTACCTCCCATAGTGTGGGATTACAGGCATGAGCCACCACATCCAGCCTATTTAATTTAATTTCATTAATTTATTTATTTTGAGTCAGGGTCTCCCTCTGTTGTCCGGACTGGAGTAGTGTGAACATGGCTTACTGCAGTGTCAACCTCCCAGGCTCAAGACATCTTCCCACCTCACCTTCCTGGGTAGCTGAATCTACAGACACATGCTACCACACCCAGCTAATTTTGTACTTTTTTATAGAGACAGGGTCTTGCTATGTTGCCCAGGCTGGTCTCTAACTCCTCAGCTCAAGCGATCCTCCTGCCTCGGCCATCCAAAATGTTGAAATTACAGGCTTGAGCCACTATGCCTGGCTTATTTTTAATTTTAAAAAAGTTTTAATTTTTTGTTTACTTTTCTGTTTTGTTTTTAGCTGAAGCTGTTTGATTAGAAGGTCCCTATGTGTGCTAAGATGCTGAGTATTGTGACAGTGCAAGGACAATCTAAAATTCCACATTTGCAAAGCCTATTAGCTTGCCTAGATGAAATAGCTGTTTAGGTCAGTAGATTGTATATGTGTAACCTTCCATTCCTCTCACATGTACAAGAGCCACATGACCTAGATTTTTTCTGGGATAGATCCACTTTTATATTTTATGCCACTGTCTCTTCAAACTATTGATCCTGGAAATTCCAATATTTTTATGTTGAGACTGTATTTCTCAGACTGCTTCTAACATCTTAAAGCGGAACAGAAATCTCATCTCTGATCATGTGCTCTAATGTGGAGTTTGGCAAGGACATTAGCTGTCACGCCCTTTCC